CTAAGACTTGTCACTGTTAGTGATCAGAGTCTGTACCTCGATGTAACTCGAGGGCACACTGCCATTAAATGAAACAACAAATGCAAAGAAATTCTGAAACTCATGTAAATATTTCAGATTCTACATTTCACTCTGATTGTTATTCTGACAGCAGAATTTGTAATGAAAAAAAGTATTAAATTAGAAAAGTAATAAAAGCATTTTCACTGGGCAGTTCTGAGGTCAGTCTGAGGCTCTGAGGTCAAAAATGAGAGAATTCAGTGCAAGACACTTCAAACTTGGAGCACACAGAGCCGAGACAAAGAAAACAGTGTGTAGTTGTTAGTTTATAGTGGAGAGATGAGGAGGATGAAGAACAATTTTAAGACAATAACATGGGAACGAAATTTCTGTGCCAGAAAGTATTGTTGTTTTTACTAAAATGACCCTTTTTAGTTTTAAATGAACAAAGTACAAAGTTAAATCAGGCTTCTGCAGTGGCACTTGTGTTCTAGTTAGTCAAACCCAGTACATTTCTTTCAAAATGTAAACCTCTGCAATTATCGCTTTAGATAAGACAGAGATATCACTGATAAAACTAATAATGGTATTACCAAGCTTATTATGAAGAGAGATGGGGAAAAAAGGAGGCTCTGTATCCAGATTGGAGAAACACTGTTTATCTTTTGTATCAAAGGCAAGTCAGAGATGTCTCTAAGGACATCAGTAATTGTGTAAAAGAGCACCAGAGTGTTCTAGTCCGCTAAAAGTACACATGGCACATCTGCACAGTGGCGTCATTACTGAAAGCCGGTGGCCAAAGACCATGTTATTAATACAGAATAGGATAAGAGAATCCTTCAACAATGGAAAGACAGAGAAAAATGACCAAACATTTCAAATTCAAACAGATTTTTAACACTTATTTCCCTGAAACAGTGCAATAGGCACCCCTAGAATTAACATAGACTGTGCTAACAGTGAGAATGCTGAACATAAATATTATATTGTACTTAAATTACATAACTGGGTTGCTAGCTGTCATTTATTGGTCATATGTCACTACATAGACCGGCACCCAAAATGCACTTGCAGGTTTTCACTCAGGGGGGAAAGGCACTTTAAACAGTGGCATGGGGGGAATTGGGTAAGAGTTAGCACGAGTCTTGAGTAGAACAGAAAGTCATGGAAGAAACAGAAACAAACAGGATCGTTCCAGGAACAGGCCTTCAGAGGACTGACTGGCCCTCTGTTTTTACACGTGTCTGGGTGTCTATGTGTGTGTCAAACAAGACAGCATGCTGGCAGGAGGCAACGACCCTGGTGCCCCTCAACAAAACAATGACGGATGCTTTTGGGATTGTGTCAAAATTTCTTGATTGGACTACTAGAAATGATCCAAAATCTTGTTCCATTACTTCAAAGTTAAGAGGTTTTTTGTTCTTCTGTAAAGTTAAGCAATGCTATATGGACTGAATTAGTTCAAATTGTGGTCCCCCAGCAAAAAAACTACTTAAAATACAATGATGTATTCAGACTTTAGATATTTGTGAAGGCTATGTTATGATCTATTTGAACACTTTCTACCGAGTTGTAATTTTAAATTGTGAAGATAGTACTTCCTTTTTGTGTTTATATAAAAAAACTAAATAATACTCAAAAATGAAAGATTTAGATTTATTACGTTAAATTTTTGAATAAAAAATGTTATTTAAAAAAACGCATCAAACATTTTCATGACGCTACCAAAACGAAAAGTTTTAGTCCAAAGGTGGAGACTTTTTTTAACTACACCCCTGCATTTTAAAACAGGAAGTGAGACTGCATCCCTGTCCCTCACGGCCACATGGTGAGCAGTTAGATCCCAATGTTTTGAAGCAAATGTGTCACAAATCTGAAAATCAGTGTGTGATACTAAAGAACTGTCACTATTTAAACATTTTCTGCATTTTAAACATTTAAACATTTTTTGTATTTTAATGAAAAACATGATTATGTGTGTACAACTATGTTTACATGGGTGTAATGAATCTTATGTTCAAAATTAGCTAAAATTGTCACTACCGAAACAGTCACTACCAAAACATTTGTTTTGGTAATGTTATGATTGTTTTGGTAGTGACAAAATGGAATATTCAATCATTCAATACAATAAACACTGGCATAGGGTCACTCAAAGCAAAAGGATTTTAAAGTCCAAGTCAGTTAAAAGGTAAAATGATCCATATATATTACTTTCCTATACAGCACTGAGCAATCCCAATTAGTCATTTTTTGTTTTCTAATTTATATTTTGTCATCAAGGTTTTTGTGTAATTATCTGTTAAATATGTTTTCTGCTTTTGTTTCCTGATTCTGAAATGGAAAATGGCCATTTTGACTAAAAATTATATGTATGAAGGGTGTTCTCCAACCTTTGCGCAGTAGTGCATCATATACATGCTGTTGTGACTTAATCCAATAAAATCCTCACAACGATGTTTCAACATCTAGTTTAAAGCCTTCCCAAAAGAGCAGAGGCTATTACTGCAGCAAAGGTGGGACAAACTCCCTATTAACACTCTTGAATTCAGAAAAAACACTGGAAGAGCATGTGTCTACAAACTTTAACATGCTTAAAACAATGGCTCTTCAAGGGTTCTTTGTTCAAGCAATGATTGTTCACAGAACCATGACAACTCAGAGAACCACCCGATTGCATAAATGGTTCTCTGCATGGTTAAACTTTTCTTCTCTACGACAGAAAACCGTATTATGGTTCTTTACAAGTTGTTCTCCTATAAAGCACCAAAAAACATTCAGTGTCCGCAGATTTTAGGAGGAACATGTAAACAAAACATCTAGGGAGGGACTGCTGTTGAAAAAAATAAGTTGCATTACAAGCTGGCAACAACTTTCATGACTAAAACCATGAAAGGGTGAAGGAAAGCAACATGGGTTACATTATATAGTTTAGCTAAAAATAATCAGCGCCTTAAAGCTTTATGAAAACAGAAATGAAAAAGAAAGCATGCTTAGGATAATCCCAAACATGAATTAACTTGAACGAATACCCCCCCCCCACCCCACAGCGGGTTGGATCATTTCAACATCCATACCACAATAATTTAACAAACAGCTTTTTAAAATAATATTCTTGATTTACTGTTCCTACCAAATGGAAACTATACTGTCAAACATTTTCTGTAAGCAAATACAAGGACAAATTAAACTGTGTGTAATTTGACCGGTCCTGAGGGACCCCTGGGTGGTCCACATATATTTGCTCCAGCCTATCTCGCAACAGATCAGGGTACAGGAACAATGTGGACCATCTGTGGGACCCTGAAGACCAGTTTGAGAATCACTGCATTAGCATATCTAAAACACATGGGTGAAGAGCTTTATGCTGCAGCATATAGTGCTGTGCAAAAGTCTTTGCCACCTAAACACATGGTTTAAAACCTTTTATCTCAGCAGTAAGTGTGATTTTCCCAGTAAAAACACCAAATATATCACTAGAATAAACAGAAATAAACAAATACAGCAAAATACAACAACAATTTCTGTTTTCAAAAAAGTAATTGATATCTTGTGAGCTGGTCAGAAGAATAAAATTTGGTTCAGGATTTCTCCTGAAGGCTTCCAGCCATCTCACAGACTTATTAAATCCATAACAAGTGCATCTGATTTAACTTAATGAAGAACCGATCAGCCAAACCAAACATTGGATGGTAACTACAAATAATAGTGGGTTGCCATGAGGAGAGGTTTGGAATTGGTTAAAATAACACACTGACATACATAAAACAGTACTTGTATTAATGTATTAAGTACTTCTAGTATTCTATTAATGTAATAAATACATAAATAGACAAATATAATTGTCTCAGGTGCCTGAAACACAGCTCTGCACAGCTCTGTATAACCTCATGTTCTTAGAAATAATATAATCCACTTTATATTTGTTTTAAACTCAGTCTAATGAATATGTGGCTATATTGTATGTTAGGGCTTGACTGATATGATGTGTATCATACCAATTTTAAGGGGCTAAAAATTCTGATAACTGATAATATCAGCTGATATAGTTTTATATTTACATTTTAAATGTATACTTCAATAGTTTTAGTTAAATAATGCTTTACTGACTGACACAACTGTCACACTTTCAACAAACAACAGAAACGTGCAATCTTAAATACCGTGTAAATAATATAAATATGCAAATAATATAATTATTGTAGCACTGGAAAGGAAGCTTCCCATAATTCATGGTTAATTACCTCTTATTTACCTTATTTTTTATTAGTTCTCTCTATAAAAAGGCAGTTTGCGTTAGATAATGTTATTCTCATGCTTAAGGTTACATTTTACACATTTTGTTGTTCTAACCATGATGGTGTTTTGTGTTCAGATTCACCGGTTCGGCCTGTATTGCTATGATATAGCTTAACAGAAGGTGACTCATATTGGGTCCCACAGTGGTCTGACGTCTAAGGTTTTGTCTTACCATCAAGAGCTTTCATGTTTGAATTACCAGCACGTTACTGACAATATTTTTGCAGTTAAACCACAGGTTGTCAATATCACGTGATATTATTGGCCAACTGATATATATCGGTTGGGCTCTACTGTGTGTAATCGTCTCACTGTTATCTTTCCCTTCTTAACATGCTGAATGCAGCCATGTTTTAATCAGTGAGTTACTTATTTTATTTAATTATTTAACATCTGATGAGTTCTGTATCAATAAAGAAAGAGACTGAATTTGAACATCACAGATGTTAAGCTCTACAAATCCAAATTGTTTAATACTGTTCTGGTATTAAGCATTGTGATACTACACTTAATATCAGTATGAAAGTGAATATCCTGATATCGTGACAACCCTAAACTCTTAACCACTTTTGATTCCCTAAAGTAACATTTAATGGATGAATCTTTTAAAAGAACTCAATTCACTCAACTGAAGGGTTCACTAGGGAGCCAATGGGTAGCCTGCTACATATCAGAAATTCAAGAGCAGTTCCAGTCTATACCTTCCCAAGCAGCACAGACATCTTGTGTCTCCAGCGGCCCTTGTTCAGCGAGGCCACCCTGATCCACAGGTTCAGCTGAGAGTTGTACATCCAAACATAGCTGCTGTTGATGCGGCCACCTGTAAACGACAACAAAAACAACAAAAAGTTAACAAAGCAGATAAGCATCTCCCAGGTACAAGTTTAAAGTTGTTCATGTTGACAGCTCAGCTTTTAACAGGCTAAAGCATCTCTGATACTGGAGATGCAAGGAAACTCTGAGGAACTTCAAAGTAATGACAATGCATTCCTCAGTAAACACCGGTGTAGCTAAGTGCTTGAAGTGTACTTGTTTCATGTGACCACAAAGCTGGCACCAGTAAGTGTACAGGCAGGAAATGCATGTTATTTAACTCGTCAATAAAGTGCTTCATACCAGTGACACAAGATTCTTTCACATTGTTTCCTCTTCCTAATAATTGTGAGGCTATGAAGACAACCCACGCTCTCGTCTTAATAAATAATTCTGAGATTGTTTTGGCCTTTTAATTTAGCACAGCTAATTGATCTATTCATGCTTTGGAAACAACTGATGCTGGGCTGGACAAGCTTTACAAACCACTAGAAAAAATCCAATAGAAGCTAAGAGGCTGGAGTTTATACTTGTTGGATAAGGTTGAGTTTCCAGTTTAAAACACTACATTCTTGAGGTGGACTACGTTGTTTAGCTAATTGATACTAGTCAGGTTGGAAAGAACAACAATTTGCCACCATGCCAACATTAATTACACTCAATTACACAGCAAAAAGAAGAAAAACATCCTAACACTGTGACCTTTCATGGACATAAAATACAAACCCATTTCCAAGTTGGGACGCTGTGCAAAATGTAAATAAAAACAAAATGCAATGATGTGCAAATCATTTATACCCTTTATTTGATTGTAAATAGTACAAAGACAACATATCAAATGTTGAAACTGAGCAATTTTATTGGTTTTTGAAAAAAATATGCCCATTTTGAATTTTATGCCAACAACAACTTGGGACGGGGGCATGTTTAGTACTGTGTTTCATCACCTCTTCGTTTAACAACACTCTGTAAGTGTTTGGGAACTAAGGAGACCAATTGCTGTAGTTCTGAAAGAGAAATGTTTTCCCATTTCTGCTTAACATAGGATTTCAGCTGCTCGACAGTTCAGGGTCTCCTTTGTCGTATATTTCATTTCATGCACCAGTGTTTTCAGTGGTGACAGACCTGGACTGCAGGCAGGCCAGTTTAGCACCCGGACTCTTTTAATACGGAGCCATGCTGTTGTAATCTTGCTAAAATAATCAAGGCCTTCCCTGAAAAAGACGTTGTCTGGATGGCAGCATACGTGTCACCCATACCATGTGCACTAATGCACCCCTATACCATCATGAACACTGCCTTTTGAAGTGTGCACTGATAACAAGCTGAGTGGTCTTTAGTCCGGGGGACACAGTGTCCATGATTTTCAAAAAGAAATTCAAATGTTGATTTGTTGGGCCACAGAACACTTTTCCACTTCACCTCAGTCCCATTTTAAATGAACTTGGGCCCAGAGAAGGTGGCAGCTTTCCTGGATCCTGTTTATATATGCCTTCTTCTTTGCGTTTAAGAGTTTTAATTAGCATTTGTGGATGCAGCGACAAACTGTTTTCACAGACAGTGGTTTTCAGAAGTGATCCTGAGCCCATACAGTGATTTTCACTAGAGCCTCTACAGTGATTATCTGTTTTTAATGCAGTGCCGTCTGAGGGCCCAAAGATCATGGCCAGCAAAAACTGTTTTTTTGCCTTGTCCCTTGCATACAGAGATTTCTCTGAATCTTTTAATGATATTATGTACTGTAGATGATGAAAAGGAAAAAACTCTTTACTACGTTATGTTGAGAAACATTATTCTTAAATTGTTGCATTATTTGATGTGCAGTCTTTCACAGAGTCGTGAACCCTCCTCATCTTTACTTCTGAAAGACTCAGTCTCTCTGGGATGCTCATTTTATACCCAATCATGTTATTGACCTGTTGCCAATCAACCATCAGGTGTTTTTTTAAGCACAACTTTACCAGCCTTTCTCAACTTTTTTGGAACATGCTGCTGGCATCAAATTCAAAATGGGCACATACCTTTCAAAAAACTATCAAATTTGTCAGATTCAACATTTGATATGTTGTCTTTGAAGCATTTTTAATGAAATATAGGTTTTAAATGATTTGCACATCATTGCATTTTGTATTTATTTACATTTTGCACAGCGTCCCAACTGGAAATGGGGTTGTAAATAGGATTTCAAATGAATAATACACTCAAAATTTTTTTATTCTGATTGGAGACTGAATGGGTTTTTTGCCAATATTCTGTAAAGCTTGCTCAACCTCAATATGTCAGCTAGGTCAGTTATAATCTAGATGCTGATGTAACTTGTCATCTGTTCAGATGCTAAAGACCTTTATATGACAATATTATATTTACTTCTCTGAAACAAGTGGGTGCCAGAATATTTGTATATGAGAGAGTGTTTTATAGATGCAAGCTGAAGCTTTGAGTCTATGCCCCTATAAAAATCAGCCCTATGTTCGTCATTGTTCTACACTGGATGAACTTCCTTGTCGTGTGTGCTAGACTGAGCATGCCCAGTGCTGTTTTTCCCCTCTCCTGCTACTCTGCTGAGCCAACTGGATTCAAACAAGCCCTGACATTATTCTTTTCACCCCTCCATCTCCCACTCGTTCACCTTATTGCTCCCTGTTTTCCCCTCATAAACATGCAGTCTGTTACTAATAGTACAGTGATGAAATCTGCTGTTTTGGCTTCAGCACAGTGGATCTGAATATGCTATTGGAAGTGAGTGCTGGGATGCGAGTGCTTAATGTCAGCTTATTCTGAACTTTTCATTACAGATTCATTAAAGACCTCCTACATATGTCATGTTTTATCATGCTGATTAGGCATGTGCTGGTATTAGGGAAATAATCCTGATGATTACCTTTTATTTAGTAAATCTTTTATCACAGTTTACAATTTTAGAGTTTGCATTATACAAAATAAAAACATAAATAAAAAAAGTCCACATAATGATGCTCACTGTATATTATTATCATACAGGACTATTAGCAGCCAGAACCGGAGTTAAGAACCCTGCCATAAAACAAGAGATCTTTACCAAGAGCTGCTCCAACATACAGCATGGAATAAACTACCAGAATGCTAATTTTTGCTAGTGGGGAAATGACATTCCCCATAATATAACAGCATCAGGCTAACAATGGAGTTCCTTTTCTCATACTGGGGTCAGTACTAATATGGTTTGAGTCTACACACAAATCGCGGACAAATAAAGCTTGCAACAGACATTCATTCAATAAATATGTTAACTGTTAGCTTACTAACGCAGAAGTCCGTCTAACTGTTTAGTTTATGTTCAACATGCTGTAATGCATCTCGAGATTGAGCATTTTTTTCCTTCTCAGGATGGAATGTGAGTTTTCACCTTTCTGGTGGATATGTTGATGTGGTTTGACATCGTCTTGCTGTTACCTGTCTGCTCCTCCTTCTGCTGTGCTGTGGCTGTTGTGATTGTTTACAAGCTCTGCTCTGAGGAGAGGCTGTATTACATGGTCAGAGCATGAGAGCACAGTAGGAGATTCTGAAAGCAGAGCTGATTTGCACGTAGAAATCTCTGAAACTGCAGCTTGTTTGAGTAAATTGCAGTGACAGATATTTCTATCTCTTATATTATGTGTTTATGCTCTTATATTAAGTGTCCATGGCTACATTAACACACACATTTAATACTGTGGTATACCAAACTGCCGAATACTGGCACATGTCTAGTGATAATATTTCCTGTTTTACTTTGTAGTATAAAATAAATACGGCACTTTTTGACACTCTTTCACTAGTCATGTTTATTTAGATTCAATATTTTTTGTTAAATATTTGGGTTAGAAAGCATATCTAGTACTGAATTAAGTGTGTTTTCAGCCTACCCGACTTTTCAGGTGACTGTTACAGTCTCTTACATTTAGCCTCAATTACGAATTGAGTTCTAACATTTCCATGGAATTATTTATAAATAGTAGGTGCTCAAAACAAAGTTAACATTTTCATTTATAGCAGTTTTCAGTTTTTTATCAATTATTTGTTTTTAGCCCAAACCATGATGCGTCACTGTCTGTGTTAGGATGTGCCCTGCTCTCCACCTACATGCCTCTTGTTTTATTTTTGCAGGCGCAGAAAGATGTAACTGCACACAGGAACTCAGATAGCCAACATACTGCTTTTCCAACTTTTTGGTGTTTATCAAGAGCAGCTTAATGATAAGGAAGAGCTGATGGTTTTAAAACAGCAGACAGCCTTTCTGCTTTTTTATACTTCTCCTTATCAGGAGCTTATTAGGACAGGACTTAGCTAAAGAACATAAACATGCACTGAGGAGAACTACAGCACTCATTGTTTGATTTTTCGGGAAGCAGAGACAGAAAAAGAAACAAAGGATATATGAACAAAGTTTATATAGCAGTTATCATCAGTAAAGAAAAACAGAAGCTTAAAACAAGCCAAGAACCACATAAACACACTCATCTATTTATAAAAAAAAATAATTTTACTTTTTTCCCCCCCATAAACTCCACTTATAAGATGTGTGTGGTTTTATATATCGAAAACAATTGTAATTAAATCAAACAGGCTGTTTTTGGCACGGCACCTTCAAGACTGTTACAAGTAGATGACTTCTGTATTGACTGGCTGACCCCTTCACAAGTGCCCCGTCTTGTGTCTTGTTGAAAAAGCAGTCTAGACTTTAAGATACAGAACAATGTGTTAATCAAACATTCGCTTCCCAACGGACAGAAACAAGACAACGTTTTATCGTTTCTTCACATCTTCTGCTCCAATAACTCAGTTATAACAGATTTCCTGCAGTACCAACACCTCCTCACTTCCAAGTGAATGAGCAGGCTAAACTGCTGTATGGATGGTCATATGTAAACTATGGATGTAGCCTAAACTCTGGGATGTAAACTAGGTATGTAAAGTATTAACGTCTACTCTTAACTGCAGGGAAGAAAAAAGGAAAAACAAACAAACAAACAAACAAACAAAAAAAAA